CACGATGAGCACAACAAAAATCACGGAAACAGAGCAACATTGTTTGATCTGATTATTGCCATCGAGACCTCACGACAATACGTAGATGGGCGGAGTACTTCGAACACCTCCTCAGTCCCACCGGCACATCTTCCAGTGATGAAGCAGTGTGTGAGGATTTTGGATTGGACTCTCCAACATCTGGTGCTGAGGTCAATGAGGTGGTCAAAAAGCTCCTCGGTGGCAAGGCTCCAGGGATGGATGAGATCCGCACGGAGTTCCTTAAGGCACTGGATGTTGTAGAGCTGCGTTGGCTGACACGGCTCTGCACATCTGGAAATCAAGGGCAGTTCCACTGGATTGGCAGAATGGGGTGGTGGTCCCCCTTTTCACAATGGGTAGGGTGTGTTCCAACTACAGCGGGATCACACTCGTGAGCCTCCCTGGTAAGGTCTATTCAGTGGTTCTGGAGAGGATGGTCCATTGGATAGTTGAATCTTGGATTAAGGAGGAGAAATGTTGTTTTCGTTCTGGCCGTGGAACACTGGACCAGCACTTTACTCTTACAGGGTCCTGGAGGGTGCGTGGGAGTTCTCCTAACCAATCTACATGTGTTTTGTGGATTTGGAGAAGGCGATCAACCATGTCCTTCGGGGGGTCCTGTGGGGGCTACTTAGGGAATCTGGTCATCTGGGAGGAGCTTGGAGTAGATCTGCTGCTCCTCCACATTGAGAGGAGCCAGTTGAGGTGAGGATTCCCTCAGAAGAGCTGGCCCAAGTGGCTGGGAAAAGGGAAGCTTAGGCTGCTGGGTTAGACCCCGGATGAGCGGAGGAAAATGGCTGGATGAACTGACATTATTCTGTGTTAAAACGAGCTGTCATTGTTTTACCCCCAAATTAGATTTTTCCTCACCATTAAAGGTCAGCTTCACTGAAAAACATTTTTTATTATTATTTCTGATAACAATTGGTTGGTTTAACATACAGGCTGAACATAGGTAATACTATCTGCATAAACTGATGGGAAAGTGCTTGGTTCAGAAAAGGCTGAACTATCTACCTCACACAGTCACCTAACATTCATGGACTCACCCATCTTGACTCGTGACGGGGAAGGCTGTAAAAGAAAATCAACATGTGATCTTAATAAAAAACACTGTGATACTGTTCATTTGAAACTGGAATCATTTTTGTTTTGGGTTTCCTTGAATAGGATGAAGACTTCCAGGAGATGGAGGAAGCAGCCCGGAAGATGGAGTCACAGTACTGGCAGTACTTTGATCAGGTGATCATCAATGATGAACTGCAGGATTCCTGTGTCCAGCTGCTGACGGCGGTGAGGAGGTCTCAGGATGAGCCACAGTGGGTTCCTGCCAGCTGGATACGACCCACTGCAGAATCGTGAGAGCAGGAAGCAGGACAAGGCACAGATAGAAATCCAAACACGAAAGATCTGCGGCTGGAGGTTTGAGGGCACAAAAAGTGTAAATACTCTGATGCGTGTTTGTTGAAATCTGGTTTCTGCTTGTTAAGTCGCTTAAATCCCAGAAGATAACACAAAGATTGGACTGAAGCCCTAAGAAATCCCTGAAACTGTGTCAGAGTCTGTCAATGTCTTATGACTTTATTCTTGTCAAGGCGGTAGGAAAAATGTTCTGTGTTTGAATTTAATTAAATTGTCTCAATTCTCGGTGTAGCTTTAATTTTCACAAAACCAAATTCATTTTCATTTCATTTTTACTCGTACCCATTTCATTCCTATTTGCACACCTGCTATTATTATGATTTGGTTTTCTAAGCGACTCTAAGAAATAAAGTGTTTCTATTGTTCACATTTGTGTTTTACTTTAGACTGAAATATATTATTGCATCTGTTAAAATTTCTGATGAAAATAATACATGTTCTGTTTATATTTTGTGTCTTAAA